TGTTGCGCTGTCTGCTGTCCTCTTGGCCAGATTACTCTTAAAAAATAAATTTCTAATGTCACCAAGATTGTTTGTGAACTGGATAAATAAAGGATATATAAAAGTCACTGCCAAAAACTGATTGCAGCTTCTACCTGTTACAGGAATGTTGCTGGTGGCTCAGAGTGACTTGATATCACTCATATAAGCGCCTTGAGGCGACTTTTGTTGTGATTTGGCAATATATAAATAAAATTTAATTGAATTGGATATCATTAATGAGGGAAACATTTGACATATGTTTCATGTATTATAGAACAACAAGTTCTCTAGCATATCGAGACTATCTCTCCACACCGTTACATATTCCATATGTACGGGGTACGACCCCCCTTGGTCGTGGCATGTGGATATTTCTTTAAGACACTCCGGCACGCCCGGCTACGCCCCACAGCTTACGTATAAAACAGCTGTGCAGACGTGACACCGGTGATCGTTGATCACCACTTGTTGTGTGTGTGTGCGAAAGAGTGCTTACCTTAAGAGTACTGTATGTGTGCGTCTATTGGAGCATGCTTCGGCATCCTCCGTGGGTGATGTATTTCTCCCCTCTAAGTCCCCTGGTATTCCCCTGGTAGCCCCGGTATTCACCTTAGCTTGGTTCCTCCTAGCTGGCCCTTGCTTCCCCTTGGTTGGTCCCCCTTCCCCGGCATATCACCTCGAAAAAGAAAACAGGCTTATGCGCCGGTCGAACCATGCTGTGCAGCTGCCGGCTAGCAAGTAGCTCGGCTACAGTGAGGAAACACGGCAGGGACACTGCTTCAGGGGGATACGGCTTCAGCGTTCAAGCATACGCTGTCGCCTTGGCACTGTGCAGCTCAGCTGCTAAGTGTGTTAACACAGAGGGGATACGGCTTTGGCGTTCCAAACATTCACTGTTGGCCTGCTTAACACTGTGGGAATAAACAGTGGGCTACGGTTCGTGCCAGCTATTGTTAGCCGGCCTGTGAGTAGCATTCCAGCCGGTTAGCCTGTCTGGTGTGTCGCCCGCAGCTCGCGGGTTAACGCGGCCAGCAGGGCTCCGATCATAGCTCGGCTACATTGGGGAAATGTGTCAGAGTTCCAAGCATATGCTTTTACCTGTCAGCACTGTGACGCAGGAGCTAATAAACAGTGGAAGGGGAATTCAGGTTGCGGCTGGCGCCGGCTACCTGTTAGCACTTCCTGGTTAGCGTGTGGCCCCGCCCCCTTGCTTGGTAGCAGAAGTATGGCAGCCCACACGTCCCAAACATGTCTGTGTATGGCATTTTTGCCTTTTTATGGTAGGCACGAGCAGTGTGGCTGTGCCTGGGTGAAAAAGGGCAAATATATAACTAATATGAAAGCAGCCTAGAGCATGCTGTGCTGGCTGAAGTAGCTGCTGCTTGTATGCACTGCTTTGTTGCCAGCACGGACTAGGCAGACCGTGCTGGATTTGAAAGCATTAAATGGCCCGCCCCTCCCCCTTCTCCTGCCTCCAAAAATGAGAGAGCAGGCTACTATGGGGAACATGGCTGCCACTGCTGTGACTCCAGTTAGGCAGGCCATGGGCTGGGTCCCCTCCCACAGCGTCCCTCCCATGGCTCCGCCTCTGTGAGGCCTGGGCTTGGAGGTTGACTGTCGGGTGGCGGATGTTGAAGAAGCTTCCATCCTCTCCTCCAGTGTTGCCCTCCTGTCCCTGGGCTGCCCCCTGCTGGTCCCCGGGCACAGTGTCTGGCGAGTTGGGTCCCTTCAGCTCCTGACTGGAGCATGCCGGGTGTGGGAATTAGCCCTTCCTGAGGTCCCCTCTAGCTGAGTGGACCTCGAGGTTGTTGCTATCACGCAGCCTCAGCACCTACTGCCTAAGGTGCCGCTGCTGCCTGGTTGCAGGCCGTTGGATGCTGCCGTGCATGGCGGGAGCCCTCCCATGGCCCCGCCTCTGCGAGGCCTTGGCTGGTGGAGGTTGATTATCGTGAGGTGGATGTTGAAGAAGCTTCAATCCCCTCTGACTGCCACTGGGGTAGGGTCCAGATGGGTGAACCCATGTCTGGGTTCCCTGGTTCTGGGAGCCTCCCACGGCATTCCCTCCCATGGCCCCGCCTCCTTGAGGCCTGGGCTGGTGGAGGTTGATGGTCAGGAGGTTGATGTTTATGACGCTTGGCTCCGGTCAGACGACTAGGGTTGCCTGATGGAACTGTCTGTCTGGCCTGCGGCCACCTCGCTTTAAAGAAGCTGAGGGGCCTCTGCAGGCGTGCAGAGACGGCCATGTTCAGTTGAGGTGGGGAGGACTCGGAGCCTAGGCTCAGCTGTCCTCCAGCCGCTCTCCTCCCTCCTGACATCCTTTGAGTTGGGCCTAGTGGCCAGCTCCGCTGCAGGCTGTGTTCCCCTGGCCTATTGCCCGCGCTTCACGGGTTCATGCGGCAGTCATGAACAGCTCGGCCAGCAGTTGACAGTTCTCCGGCCTGCGGCGCTGGCTCTCTGTCTGGCACATTGCCCAAATGTTGCGGGTTACGTGGCCGGCAGGGCCTGCTCAGTGAGCTGACACCCCCAGTGAGTCACGTCCCTGGCTGCACTGCAGCTCCGGGCAGTCTTCCCCTGGCATGTTGCCTGCATTCGCCGGCTTACACAGTTGGACCTCGCTGCGGCGAGTGTGCATTCTCCAGCCTATTTTAGCCGGATTCTCTCTGGCATGTCAGCTGCTGCAGCTCCTGGCTGTGTTCCCTTGGCGTGTTGCCTGCGCTTCGCCAGTTTACACGCCAGCCGGGCCTCACTGTGTCTGATAATTCGGCTGGCGAGTGGGTGTTCTCTGGCCTGCAACGTTGTGCATGGGTGTCTCGTTTTCAAAGTTCACTCTTGCTGCTCCCCTGTCTGCGGACAGCGCTAGCGACCGCTCAGCCCTGGGGCAGACCTTCGGGTTGAGTCCCCTCTTGGCTTTCAGTGGGCTAGACCACCAGCCCACCGTCTGCGGATGGCTGGGTGGCTCCGTGGTTGGATGGACCCTACAGGTTGCTTCCCTGCCTTGGCCCTGCGTCTTTGCAGCTGTACTGCTGCTGTGTTCCTCTGGCGTATAGCCCGC